AGATAATAAAGGATTCATGGAATTAAAAAATTATCAGAAGGGGTTTTGTGGAGATTTTATTAATTTCAATAGTTGAAATCAGCTCACTGAAGACAATGGTGTGCGGTGGCGCGATTTCGTGGATTGGTTGAAGTTAGACATTAACACCGTTGGATGCCAGCCGGATCAGTGGTCTAGAGATTAAGCGCTCGCGCGCGAGGCGAAGTTGCGGATGCGCACTGATGATGATTTCCATACTAGGACGAAACGGACGTCCAGTGCTTTTAGGTTTTTTATGGTGGTTTAGCTTCAAATGACTCATGATTTTAACAATTAAAAAATTGATAAGATGGGTTATAGAATTTGAAGATTCACATAATTTAAGAGAATCAAGTGAGTAGAAATGTGTGAATGAAAGGATGGTTTAAGAATTCGGTAATGGAAAAGGAATAACACCTAATAACCTCTGACATGTTCATTGATAACCTTGGTCATTCCAATACTTCGCATTCACTTATGTAAATTGTTACATACTATTTCTTATCTCAATGTAAAATTCTAATAAATATTTGGTTGTAAGCAGCTGACGAGAAACCTCGGAATAAAATGAATTCATACGATTCCGCATCACTATTTGTTCTGGCCTTATGTTAAGTAATTATTCCAATTTATAAATGGTTTTTTACATTATATTAATGTATTTCTTTTATATATCGGCATGTATATATTTAGTTGTCTAGTAACAAAAATATTGACAGAGATAGTTTATTTTTTGAAAGAAATTAATAACAAGTATGGCGTGATGTTTAACAGTAGATAATAAAGATTAAACTTAAAACTATTTTGCTATGAAACATCTAAATTTCTATAAATGAATCAATTATAAAATATTCTGTAGACAATAGTAATTAACATTCTTTCAACTGCATGAAATATACAACAAAAGTTTTAAAGAATTCATTTAGATAACAATAATTTATTAATAATTATTATTGAAATCATGAACCGATAATGTTAGACCACCATTAAAAACCTAGGAACAGTCGACGGCCGTTTTGTCCTAGTATAGAACTTCTCAGCAGTATGCATTCACGATCCTACACTTGAAACTCAGACCCAGGACCTACGATCTTGTGTGTGAGCGCTCAACCTCTAGGTCATTCAGCCGGCATACGATGGTGTTAATGTCTAACTTCAACCAAAAAACGGCTATATAAAAAAACATAGTTGTTCGTAATAAGCAGTTATGAACCTGACATTTTGTAAATAAACTGTTTTGTAGACGTCAAGAATGAATTTGATGATTGTTTTGTCATCTGTAGTGTATTCACTCAGTTATGCAAAAGTAACTAGATACTTAACTTCTTTAGATTTAGTAATACTCAATAACTGAAATGAAGCTAAGGAAACACTGGACGATTGGGGAACAACAAAACAATGATTTAATACAACGTTTCTACGAAAAAACTACAAACTCAACGAATTCAAGATTACTCACAACAAAGCCTAACAGGATTTACTGAAAGAAGAAACTATGATGGAAGACAAATGGGTAGGGATCGAGGAACCACTAACTTCAACGTATCAGGGTGTGCTAGGCCACATTAATCGTTATTATAAGGAATGGATCTCTATGGAAACCCTGAACAAGATTCAAGAAAGGAAGAACAAGAAGACGGCAATTAACAACAGCCGAACAAGAACGGAGAAGGTCAATGCACAATCTGAGTATGCAAAAGCAAGTAGGCAAATGAAGGGAAGCCCTGGAGCTGATAAGCAGAAATATGTAGAAGACCTAGCAACGACAGTAGAAAACGTTTCACGGGAAAAAAATATGTGACAACTGTATGACACGACAACGAAACTGACAAGGAAATATAATAAGCCAGAGAGACCGGTCAAGGACAAAGAAGGCAACATAATCACCAAAATTCAAGAACAGAGGAACATATATGTAGAATGCCCCGAGGACCTCTTGAATAGACTAGCTCCATTGAATCCACTGGACATCGAAGTAACACACACAAACCTTCCTATAAATGTCACTCCATCAACGATCGAAGAAATCATTATACAAATCAAGAACGGGAAAGCGGCAGGACCTGACAATATACCAGCCGAAGTACTGAAGTCAGACATAGAAGTAACTGCAAACGTGCTCCACGTTCTATCCAGGGAGATTCGGAAGGAAGAACAAGTATCGATATACTGGAAAGAAGAATCAAGATACCAAAGAAAGGAGATCTGAGCATCACACTACTGTCAGTACCAGGAGAAGTTTTCTACAAAACGTTGCTGAACCGGATGAAGGATTCAGTAGACACGCAACTTCGAGATCAACAAACCGGATTCTGCAAAGATCGGTCGTTCACAGACCAAATCACAATACTACGAATCAATTAAATGGAACTCGTCACTATACATCAACTTCATTGACTTTGAGTAAGCGTTTGACAGAGTGGATAGAAGCTTATGGAACCTACTTCAACACTATGATGTACCTGAAAAACTCATCAACATCATCTGAAATTCATATGATGGAAGTGATTGCGATGTGATGCATTGAGGACAGCTGATATACGCATTTCAAATGAGGACCGAAGTCAGACAAGGCTACCTACTCTCACCCTTTCTCTTTCTACTGGTGGTCGATTGGATTATTAAAACGTCTGTATCTCAGAGAAATCACGGGATACAATTGACAGATTGGATGCGACTAGACTATTCGGACTTCGCAGATGACTTGGCCCTTCTATCACATACACACCAACAAATGCAGGTCAAGACAACCAGTGTAGCAGCTGCCTCTGCATCAGAACTCAAGGTATACAAGGGAAAAGCAATTGCCTGAAATACAAAACAGAAAATACCAATGCAATCACACTTGATGGAGAAACTGAAGGAAGTGGAATGTTTTGCGTACTTGGTAAGCGTCATCGATAAATAAGGAGGATCTAATGCAGATTCAAATGCAGAGATTAACAAAGTAAGAGAAGCATTCCTAGAGTAGAAAGACATATGGACTCAAAATAACTGTCAAGCGATTTCATATTCGAAATGCTCAATACAAACGGTAGGATAATTCGACTGTATGGAGCTGAAACTTGGAGAACTACTGCAACCATCACCACGAAAGCGCAGGCATTTATAAACAATTTACTACGCAAGATACTCAATATCTATTGACCGGATACCATCAGCAACAGCCCACTGTGGGAGAGGATAAATCAGCCTCCATCTGAAGATAAAATTAGGAAATGACGCTGAAAGTGGATAGGGCACACATTGCAGAAAGTATCAGACTGCATTACGAAGTAAGTTCTAACTTGGAACTCTGAAGGGAAAAGGAAAAGGAGCAGATCATAAAGCACATTGCACTGTGAATATGACGCAAATATTAAACGACTGACTAGCAACTGGGAACTATTGGAAAGAATCACATAGTACGGAGTTGGTTGGAGAATATAGGTTGGCGTCCTGTGCTTTTCCAGGAGGAGTAATACAATATCATACTTGTCATGCATATAATTCTATTCAAACAGTTATTAAGCGAAGCACCCAATTTTACTAAAACTTCTATCCATCTACTTATTTCAATCTTAATAATTAATGTACATCGGAAAGGGGCTATTTTATTGTTCGATATACTGTGTTCAGAATTCAACAACCCATTTAAGCATTCATTATTGAACTTTAGTGATCATGAATGTTAACATATGACAGTATCTTTGTTTCATGTAATTATAAGATAACTATAATCTGTCATCACTTTTGTGTTCTTTATCAGTTGTTGACACATGAAATACAAATGATGACAATATGAACATCTTCAAACGGTAATTACAAGAAATTCCACTTGGAAAATTGTTATACTATTGGTATGTACTTGACCGAGGATCACTTGGTAGTAGACCTTCCAGCTATCATGTGATAATTTTGATCATAGTAAACATATTAGCAACTATTCTTGATAAGTGACAAACAAGAGCCATTTTTCAGGTAAATAGAAGTGTCAAGCATAAAAAACAGTCCTTACAATTACTTATTCCACTTCACGCCTTTGTATTCGTTTAACAAATATCAGCCTTGTCAAATCTCATAGTATTTAGGAGCAATGGTAATTGTATTAATAGTTTTATGAATTTGGATGTAACTATATAGTGCAGTAATTGAAGAATATTGATAGGTGAAGATAGTAAAAATAAATGAATATGAAGGATACCTGATAATTTTTGGATATGATGAATATTCCCCAAATAAAAGAGTTACAATTGACAAACATCTTAATAAGGCATTTTATATTGGTTGTTTAAATCTTCTCATTAACGTTTAGGGTTGTAATTTTTCAGCCTCTTATTGACATATATGCATCCTGTGTGAATTAACTAAATATTATCTTAAATCACATGCATTATAAGCAAAGATGGATGGTGGCTAGCGGTGGAATCCTGGATGCGCGTCTTCTGGAATTAAACTCATATTCTCAAAGTATTCTTATTATTACAATTGATCATTGTTAATTTATCGCTTATCACTGGTATTCTAATTTAATACTTTAGCAGATTTAATGGATTATTTAATCAATCGATCCTATTTTGTGACATTTGAATTAGTAAGTGGATCTTGCATTGACATGTGTATTCACATATCAAAATATTTTTTGGCAATCATCAGTTGATCAGTTTCAAAAATGCTATGTCATTCGTTTAGACTCCTAGGCATCCTATATAGTTGAGCAGGGTTAAGCTGGTAGCTCGATATGGAAACCTGAAATTTAGTGAGTGAAAATCGTTTATTTAACAACTGAGATACTATCGTTATATCACAAGCAAATCACATAACAGTTCAGTATGTAATCTAAACCGTTGAATCTACTTAACGTAGCGTAAATAATTCAACTTTAAAAAAACGACAGATAAAGCTTAATGTCTAGCTTTAGTCGGTAAATACAAATTACTTATACTAACCATTCCATCTCGTCTTGAAAGAACAGAATTCGTTGATAGAAATAATCACAAACTTTACAACATTATATGTATATTTATGATTCGTAATAAAATACTATTTTCCTTAGTGAAAAGGCATCAAACACACATAAATACGTGTTCGCACACAGATTTGTATACATACAAACATGGAAAAAGATATTTGCACTGTTCAACTACTATATACCACACACTTTATATATATAGTATTATTTAGTGTGCTGTTTCAATGATGCGCTGTATATGGCAGTAAAATAGTATTTTACATTTCTGTTTTAAAAGTATTTGCTATTGCAAAACAAATATCTGTATTGATTACACTGATTTAATCTCAGTAATAAAATGAAATTGATTAGGAAAAGCAATTTCATTGATGTTAATCCCCTTATTGTGCATTATTTATGATCAAGTGTGTTTGCATCTGTATATTAGCGCCAATAACAACATCACTCAGTGCACATACACATACATATGACGTTAACTAAAATCTTAAAAAAGTCTATACACATATCCACATAGCTTACACCCAAAATATTTTATCTGTCATCACTAGTCGATGATCATAAATGTATTTATGAATAGGCAAATAAAATACAGCATAAAGAGATCAATAACAATATAAATCACAGTAGACTGAAGATAAACTATTTATGAAACACGGGTATACAGATAAAAGATAGGAACAAGAAAATTCGAAACTAATTTAGGAAAGGTGTTAGAAAATATAAGTAACAATATTAATTGAAGACATTCATTCTGAAAATAATGATTTAACACAAAGAGAAGAAAAGATAAGTATTCGAAAACATCCGAATTTTATAAACATTTAAGAAAGGAGAAAACAGCGAAAAAGACGACCCAAAAGATAGATGAAAAGCATCTCAAAGAAAAAAGCTATTAAATTTGTGAAAATATGGTAATACAGTTAGCTACAACATACAGATAGTAAACAAAAATTGTTTGCATGTAGTCAATTCATTGAATTGTCCAAAACAAAACAAAAAAAGAAAAGAAATCTGTGAAAGTTTCTAAACAGCTCTGTAGAAAACAAATGTAAACTGATTAGTTTGAAACTTAATTAAAACATATGTATCGAGCGTTAGAATGGAACATTGGATAGTACATTCATAGTATCTTTAGTTAGAGCAAATTATTTAAATACATATGCAGAAAGAAAATACAATAAAAATTATATTACGACTACTACCAGTAATAATAATAATAATAATAATAATAATAATGGTCATTACTATTATTTTTATCATTATGAAACAGATTTATGTATACACATTTCTTAAAATTATATTTTAAAAAAGAAAATACTTTAGAATTTTATTATAGAAAAGAATATTATCACTATATGAATAATAAATATACATGATTTTAACCACTAGCAATAGCAACCGGTTGACCATTGATTGTTTTCATTTTTAATATACCATTTTCTTCTACTTCAATTGTTTCTATACCATCTTGTACTATTTTACGTGTTGTTACACATTTTCCATTTTCAATTTTAGTTGAAGTTGATCGAAATGTTTCTTTTCTTACTGGTGGATGACCAGAACGACTAGAACTACCAAAGTTAAAACTATATGATGTCTTTGTAGATAAACTACGTACTGGTACATTTTGTGGTAAACTTGTTTTGCGTAAACGTTCGACATGATGAAATCGTGGTTGATGTTCATTAGTTGATTTACAACTAGTTGTATGATGTAAATGACGACTAGGTAATACATTGAAATGATGGTCATTATTAAATATATCATGTAAATGACTGTGTGATCGAAATAGACCAGCTGTATCCATAAATGCATTCATCATATCCACATGTTTACTGAAAAATTCACGGAACACTTCTTCAGGATCTCGAAATGTAAAGCCGAAATCATTAAATGGAAAGAAGTCACTTGTATCAAATATATCATCTGTGAAAAATGTTCCTGATGCTGTATGTCGACGTCGTCCACTAGGTGGTCTTGATGATTTAGACGTTTTTACATGAGTACGATTTAAGCCATCTTTACCATGACAATCATAGACAGAACGCTTTTGTGGATCAGATAAAACTTCATATGCTGCACTAATTTCTTTAAATTTTTTTTCTGCTTCTTCTGAATTTGTTGGATTTTTATCTGGATGCCATTTAAGCGCTAAACGACGATATGCACGACGTACTTCTTCATCTGTAGCTGTTTTAGTTAAACCTAACACTTTATAATAACAAATTGAACTCATAATTATAGTAGTTATAAAATTAAATGTCTATGTTATCTTTATCAACTGAAGTTATTTTCCTATGAATGTGTTCTTGATAATTTCAATTAGATTTTCTAAAATAAAAATATACATTGTATAAATTTTACGGTGACTATTGTGGATAATCACTTTTAATGTAATTAAGGTTGTTCATGAATTCTGAACACAAAAAACATGTTTATACCATAAACGAAATTTGTTAAATACAGTTAATGTAATAAGACGACGATTATCAAAACTATATGATATATTAGCGCAATACACTTCGAACAATCTGGATGATCGTCGCTCTATATTAAAAAACTGATTAAAATTGAGAGTATACTAATAGACTTTAATTCAACCATTCAAATAGTTGAGCATTCACCTAGAGACCTGCAAGTCCAGGATTCTATCTCTGACGATACCATTGGTATAAACCTTTTGAGAGGCCCATATTTAAAGGGAACAACTATCCATTCTTCCATGGATGAAATAATACTTTGGTTGAAATCAGTTTATGATAAATACGATACATATATTCGTTCAGCAGGTTATTGATTATGTCTCATAAGAGTTATTTAATCGGGAATTGAGGGATTGTTTCTGTACAAAAATGAACATTATATCATCTTAGTAATCCGAGTATGTGATAAACTAATTTCACCTATGTATCAAGGTACATGAATGATTCTAAATCAGTTAAAAATAAAAGTTATACTTACTCTTTAATTTCCTTTAAATTTTATACTTAATATTATTGATTTCATTATTTCTTTTCAATGATGCTGTCTATACTTCGATTAGATTTCAACAGAAGCCTATGTTATTGTCAATATACTTTATTTTTCATTATGCTAATTTTATTTTGTTGCGCTGATATAAAATGCTAAAACTTAAGACTGTATATTACATATCTATCTCGTCCCTTATGTTCACATAAGTGTCTGTTCGGCTAAATTAGGTAATTCATAAAAGTACCTTGACAGTTTTCCTTATAAATACACGTAAATACATAAAGCATATATAGTACCCATTAATAAATATTTAGTGATCTTAGTTAACTAGTTGAATCCAAATTCATTCAAATAAACATTAAACAAATTATGTCACTCTAGATCACTTAACAATTTATTAGTATCACAAAAGTACTCATTAAAAAATTCTTTGTCATCACAAAGCCATGTAGTTAATTAAGCTTCCCCTAATCGCTTCGTAGTTAGAAATATACACCAAAAGCAATAATATGCATTTTATTATAACGAATAAAATCAAAGCATATGTGATCATTTTGCAAAATTATTATTAAATAAATTGGAAGAAATAATCAGTTTATTACAAGAAGAAACCGAACAATCACTATCATTAAGAAATGGCATTTTCTAGAGAATTAATCTAAATCAAAGTGGACTTGCTGATTATTTTGTCTTACTGGACAACTACTCATTAGTATGTACTAGAAAAAAGCTCAAAAAACATCGTAACTACAATATTCATATCCTTTTAAGGTGACCACAAAAATCGAATCTGAATCCTGTGATTTTATGCTTTCAAGTTTAGTCAATCTAAGATATAAGTTAATTATAATTCAATATTACTTATCAGCAACTTTCATAGTTAGTGATCAATCAACTGTAAATAACTCAGTTCTATAGGCGAGTTTAGACAAAAATAGCTCAACGGTAACATTTTGAATCCCTTAGGGAATATATCAGTCTCCTCATGATTCTATATTCACCTCCCTGATGAGTGCCAGTTAGAAGGTAACCTATAATCAGAGTATCCTACTGACTATATTTAATCACTTAATACCATGTCCTCTCAATGAACCTCTTTATAATCCAGTTCAAACTTATTTGATGTTATTATTTTCTGAAAACTATCATAGATCTAAATAACTCTTCACAAATTACCCACCTCTATAAACAACGAAACTTCTTTATTCACTATTTATTGATGATTTTTTTGTTACATTTTACTAACTGCATAACAGAATATATGTATAAAATAAACGAATACAAAAATGAAATATTTGTAGATTCTTTTTGGTATTCCAAAACAATCAGTACTGATAGATTAATTACATTTACAAAAATATATATTATACCACTTAGGAATACATGATATACCTGTTAGAAAATCAAATAAATTATCTCATGTGATATAAGAGACAGTAAAAATTTAGAAATATATTGAGTATATCAAATTGTTTATACTAAGAATACGATTCAAAACATTATATTCTATGCATATGTTTGTATGCACATGGAAACATTCATCGAATTCAGCGGAATAACGAATGGATTAAAAGATAAAATAACAGTGAAACCATTAAACTTTTAAAATTACTTTTTAAACATTATAAAGAAATTAAAAAAAAACACAACTGAAACTGTTAGAACACCAAGTAAATAAACAATATTCAATAAATAAACGTCTAACACATAGTGTATAGATACTTTTAATCAAATTAACTGAGTAGCAAATAGATATGGAAATCAACAATTAAGTCAAGTTAACAGTTTATTAATATATTTTTTTACATAACTGAAATTATTAAGTGATACTTTTTTCTTTTAGTTTAGATTATGAACTAATCTTAGTCAGGTAATTATTAGGAACCAGTGGACGTTGATGTTTCGTCGTAGTATGAAACTCCTTACTAGTGTACAACCGCTTACCCACCTTGGGATAGAATCCAGGACCTATAGACCATTGAACCAACTTTCAGTGATATACATATAAAATTTCAATCAATTTCAATGTTTTCTGCTTTCCAGTGGTTGTCGAAGTAATATGGGTCCGTAATACAAGCTACGAGAATTCAACAATCTCAACACAAACTCCTAAGTTAATACTATTTTATTATTCGAATTTGAATTTTATTTCGTCGCATAAAACTTTCATTTTCAATGCTATTAAAAAATTTCTAACTTCTCGTATAGCATTGTTGTATAGGCTACTTATGTTAACAGATATAAGTAGTATATAACTTCAATCACATGTGGAGTGCCTGTCAGCAGAACAACATTGGGAATATTGAATTGAAGAAAACAGAAAGGACAGCAAAGAGCAATTAGGATGACAACCGAGTTTGAAGAATGAAGAATTATATACAGGACAACCGATGGAAGATTTGTAAGTAATGTATTTAATGCATGATTTTTATATTTTAGAAAGCACTGTGTAATTTTGCATGAAATAATAAATTGATTTACCCCACCTGAGTATCAGTGTTCTGTCTCAAAGTTCGTTAGTAGCATATCACTTACAAGAGAAGGCTATTTAATCTGTTGTCTATGTGCACAGTAAAATTTTATCCCTTTATTAGTTGATGATTTGTTATCGATCAGGTTTAAGGGAGATAGTAAGAGATCGTTTATACATCGATTACTGACAGAAGCCGTTGCTTTTAGAAATGGTTACAATTAACTATTTAGATGTAGAAGGTTGACGAAAAAAACGTTCAAAAAGAACCTATATAGTATCCAAATGACTTTTTTCTCAATCAATTTTAATAACCATTGAACGTACTGAATATAAATTTATGTATTTAATTTATTTGTCAAACAATGATTATTCATAGGTATGTATATGTATATGCAGAAGCATATCGATCTGATCAAATTCAACATTCTAACCATTTTGCTTTGGTTTTCATTTCACACAATGAAGAAATATAAATTCACTGTCTATACTTATTTATTATGTTTGAAAATGGATTTGCATAATTCTATTCTACCAAATCTCAGTTCAGTATCGATATTGATCATTTACATTGTCTGTGCATAGTGTACCATATCTACAAAGTGATGCTTTATGAAAATTGGAATATTAGCTTAACAGAAAGGTGATTACCAATTGATCAAGATTACATTGTTGTTAAATTCACTTGGTGTTGTTTCCTTGTATATTATCATTATTATTCAGGACTGCAATTGATCAGTCTCTTGTTGGCATATGTGAATCCCGTGAGGACAACATCGATATTATATATAACAAAGTCAAGGTCATATGCTTTAAAGTATCCTTAATTTAAACAAAACAGTCCATCTACAATTAAAGATATTATTTATTCTTCATCTTTAATCACTTAATTCAACGACATTAATGTAATATATTATGCTGAATTATAGATGATTAGGTACAAGTTGAGATAAAAATGATTACGCTCTAGAATAAATTAACTGAAATCAGAAAAGAGGATAATTATATTACAACTTAGTGATTTGACAGTATAGTTCTCGTTGTGATAAAGAACGATTCTGATATACAGTGTTGAATGTAAACATAAGTCTTGACTTTGAAGAATTCTCAAACTAACATGAAATGATTATCGACCGTATGCTAACTTTTTACTGATTATTCAGTGGTTGTCAATTTATAATATAACATACCTTCAAGACTTATTATAGAACTGTCCACAAGATATATCTCCTCACTCAACAAGATTATTAAGTTTAATAATTACAATTTAAAGTATGATTATGATTCAGACTGAATGAATTAATAAAATAGCAAAGTACAAATTATTTTTCCGAACATTATTGTACGATCATTTGACGCATGCATACACATACTACTCAAATATATATATATATATATATATATATATATATATATATATATATATATATATATATATATAAATGCATTATTATTAGGTATAAAATAGTGAATGAATTCATACTGGATAACAATATGTGATGGTTAGAAATCAATAATAATTTGTATTTTCAAAAGTAAGTACAATTTAAACAATTGATGTATAAAAATCAATGTAAGTATATATATAAAAACATACATATACATATTGACATTTATTACTATCATCAGTTGTACAAATGTTACGTAATTAATAAAGAATTATTAACGTTATTGTCGGACGGAAAGAATAACAAAAAGAAGTAAATAGTCATTCAACTTGATAAGTAAATATTATAAACAATTATTGAATTATTATCGGAAAGCGGTTTTTCCTGGAGTTCTAGTGAGACATTGTGACCAGTGGAGTTCAACCGTGTCTGTTATGAGGCAGTAACTCACTGAAGACAATAGTGAACGGTGGCGTAATTTCGTGGATTGGTTGAAGTGA